ACTACATTCTAGCATCCCTCTGCTTGTCATTATGTAACACTGTAGCTGATGATATCAATTAATATTGTGGAAGAGGATCAAGTGACTGTCACCCAAGCAGGAAAGTATTTTACCTCAAAAAGAAAGAGTACATATTTCTTACATCTGTATTCTTCATAACTGAATGGTTGAATATTAACTTCAACTTCCACTGAAATTTTGTCTCTGGATAGGTGATGACTATTACAAATTTATTCCACATAGCAGGCCCTGTACATTGTCATTCCTTTGCCACTCGGCTTCCGTGGTATTTCCTGAAACATGGCCTCTTCTAGGGTGTCCTACTCCTAGGAATTCAACTTTTAAATAATACAATTTTTAAGATGTTGTCTTGACCCAGTTTTGAGGCTGTGGGTAGAGGACAGTCAATTCTTCTTCTGGAACAGCTAATCCAGACCATGCTTTCAAACTCCCCTCTTATTAAGAAAACCTCCAAAGCAACTCCCTTAATTGCCCCGGATCAGGCGGTAGTTAACCTAGTCATTAATAGTTGATTCCAGGTTTCTTTTGACTAAGTTTAAGGGAGAGCGGGAAACATAATTTCTGAGTGTTTCTGTGAGAAAATTTCCAGAAGAGGCTAGTGTTTGAATTGGCCAACTAAGAACATCTGCACTTACCAATGTGGGTGGCATCATCCAATTTGCTTCTCTCTAAAGTTGTTTTCAAAGGCAGAGAAAAGACTATTTCTTTTCTAACCTTGGGATCCAAAGTTGCCTTTGGACACTAGAACTCCAGACACTCGGGCTTTTAGACAATGAGATTCACACCAGTAGGACCCTCCTCCCCTGCTTGAATTCCAGGTCCTAGTCATGAACCCAATAGTCACACCATCAGCTTACCAAGTTCCTAGGCTTTTTGACTGGAACTGAGTGATTTGCTGGTGATTCTATGGCTAGCAGATAGTAGCTTGGTTTCTAGAGTTTCATAATCAATTCTCATATTAAATCCCTTATATATTTATCTCTGTCTATAGTATCTATTTCTGTTTCTCTGGAAACCACAATGCACAGGACTGCTTCAGGTCTGTAGAGACCACTAGAAGTATTAATATTAATCCAGTCCTAGACTCATTCAACCTGCCTCCTCTTTACATCCTGCAGGAAGCATAGTGAAGATGCTTATTGTTCTTTCCCCTCTTTTTCTTTACCTTTTGGTCCACACTAATCCTCGTTTTCAGTTCCCCTCTCTCTTCTCTTGACTTTTGGCTGAGACTGGCCCTCCTATAAGAGGCCTTTCTTTTTTTTTAATGAGATACTGGTCTGTCTTTAGGGAAGTGTGGCTATACCTATTCCAACTCTCTCCAGTTAGCATTACTGGATGCATCTGGCCTCACAATTATATGCCTGAAGCATTTAGTTTGGACATTCCCTGTGACAATGAGACACCTATGACACAGCAGCTGTCTTGCTGTTGAGTTGCATTTTACTCTACCAGCCCGTGAACTCTAGAAAGCAGAAGGATCTTTACCTCTCTAGCTCCCATTCCTCGAACTGTTCTCTGCATATGATAAGTCCCCTATTAAAGTAATACAGGTCTTTGAAATATAACATTGATGAGGTGAACTGAGAAGGTTTTTGATATGAATGCATAGCCAAAGTTACAAATTCCTCTACTGATGACATTGGGCATTGTTCTAGGTGATGACATAGGGCAAAATCAATTTAGTATGTTCTTTTAAAAGTAATCCTTTGAGAGCCTGTGATATGGGACATCGAACATTATAGTCAGATTGGTCTCTAAGAGTGGTATTCATAAATCAAAGAAATGTATCTTTTCTCTTTTATCCTGTAACTACTTTTCACTGGAATGGATGCTGCAGATGATGTAGATCTGCCTGGTCGTCTTTCAGTGGCAATGTAATTGCCCTTTCAGCAGTTTTACTTGCTAGATGCTGACAGCACCTCACAGTCAAGGACCCACTCCCCCACCCCTCCAGAATTTGTTTTACCCACAAAAACAATATCACCTAAGATCATGCCTGTCTTTGAGGACAATTTGCCTACAGTGACTGTTCACTGCAGCATCAAGTAACATAACAACCAATCTCTCTTTGTGTAACATCTCTGTGATGTTTGCCTTACTCCAGAACACACAGTGAGATGGAATAAAATATCTACAGCAAGTCTTAGCATAAAAAACATGGCACTACTGCTTGTCTGATGCCCGCCAAGTCACGGTTCTTCAGTCCCCTCTGGTGAACTCTGACCTCTAGGTATCTAACTCAGAGACTCAATATCTGTTCTCCAGGAAGACACATTAAAGACACTCATGGTCTAAAAAGAAATAAAATTAATTCCAAATAGAAAGTTAACAATGAAAAACAGCTTACTGTGAAGTATTAACTGATTTTGCCTTTTTTGGACAACTTAATTATTTATTTATAACAAAGCTAATAAATACACAATAGGTATCTTTGGACATTATGATCCAAATACATATTTTATCTCTCATATTTTCCCATTTTGTCAGTATTTGATGAAAATTTATGATAATCAAAAACATCCTCAAGAGAAGAATAACTTTTTTGTTTTTAGTATAGAGAAAAGATCTTGCTGCATAGCCTGGCCTTGAACATGAGAGTCACCTGCCTCAGCCCTCAGAATGCTGGAATCATAAACCTTTGCTCAAGAAAAAGATTCCAGTTCCTTTTTACAATGAAATAGCGTGGAAAAAGTTCTTATACTTTACATTTAAAATAAAAGCCCCAGGACATTAATCTATAGGAAATTTCAAAACAACTAATGCATTTTGCAAATTTTAAACAAACTGACTGCAAATGTTTACAGAGTTTATCAAGGACACTGAATGGAAAAAAGAAACATAGGAATGTGTTGAACTCTTCTCAAAGGCACATACTGCTTTGCAGTTATTTTCATGGTATTATCTAATGTGGGGCCAGCTTCCTTGTGGCTGTTTTAATCATTCCAAAGACAAATTATTTCCTCCTTTGAAACCACACACAGAGATTCTTTTATCTGCAAAATTTCTCTTAGTTGCTAAGGTGTTCGATGTTAATGTGGCTCGGATTCAAGAGACCTACAGGAAAAGCCCCCCCTTTCCTAAATAACTTAGAGAATAAGCATTTTGGGGTACACTGGAGACTCCATACTCACCAAAGAGCTGCTTTCCGTTCATTTATTTTTAATCTTAACAAGATGGTCACAACATTATTGGGAAATGAACAAGAAAAGGTGGTGAAGGAGTGTGGGGGAGTCCTTGTTTTTGTTTTGCGTTCTTTTAACAAGAGGTAATTAAATGGATGAAATACCTTCCAGAGTTTCTGATATAAAATAAGCAGGTAGAGCATGAACGCAAACAGAATGACTTCCTTCCTCTTAATTTGAGACATGAAGTGGTCTGCTGTTCGTTTAGGATGAAGCAGATATCCTAATATTCTGGCCTTTGGTAAACATAGCACACTGAGGGTTTTAGGCTGCCTTAGTTTAAGACTGGATGGCCTCATGATTAGAATACTTCGCATAAAAACTAAACAGGCAAAGGAACTCACAGAGATAGCAGGGTTAGTCACTGGGCTGATAAGTGTGGCAGATTAATCTTATTTCTTCTTTGTACCTTCACTGTAATTTTGGGCTTATGAAACAGATGACATTTTGAACTTTTTTGTTTTAAAATCTAGGGGAAAAAAGCAGCCGGGTTTCTGACATTTGACATAGAGGTAGGATAAATTATCAACTATTGTAACCAAATTAGTTCTCAGACTTTCATCTTGAAATCTTTGCATCCCTGGGATGAAGTGTCTTCACGAATTCCTTCTGTTACTTTGGAGCATGCATTCTGGCTGGACAAGTGTGGAATTCCCCCTTGACTTTTCACTATAATTTTGCAGTCATGAGATATTCCGCAGGAGCATATAGCATGTTGGTCAGGACTAATGCTTCCAAATCCAATGTAGGTTTACAATTCAACACTGCCACCACAACCTAGGGCAAGTGTATTAAGTTACCTAAATTTGAGTTTCCACTACCTCCAAATGGGAATAATGATTGCATAGTACTCACAGTGCTGCTATGGAGAGGGGATGGAAATGAAAGGAAACGTCCTCACTCACTATCAAATGTGATGATTTGAGTATGGATGTCTCCCATAGGTTCATGTGTTTGAATGCTTGGTCTCCAACCTACCTCACTGTTTGGGAAGAATATGGTACCTTCCAGGAAATAGAGTCTTACTGGAAGATGTCATTGTGCATGGGCTTTGAGGTTGCTGTTCTTTTCCTACTTCCTGAGTGTGGATTCAGTGTGATTACCCAGCTTCCTGTTCTTGTCATTGTGAGTCCCAACCTGTTGTTGCTATGTTTTGCTTGTTGGGGGCGGCTGCTTATTCATTCCTGGTTGCCCAGAACTAAAATAACAACACATAAATGATATTATTTGCAATATTGTTTGGCCAATAGCTTAAGCATATTTCTGACTAACTCTTATATCTTAAATTAACCCATTTCTGTTCATCTGTGTATTATCACATGGCTGTGACTTACCTGTAACATGAGAAGGCCGGGCCTGCTAGTTTGTGTTTTCTGTCCCGCCCGGTTCCCCCAGCCTGTTTAGTCCCAATGAAAATCAACCACAGAGGACTCAGTAAGTTATAAAGCTGATTGGCCCATTAGGTCAGGCTTCTTATTGGCTAACTCTCACATCTTGATTAACCCATTTTTCTGATCTATGTTAGCCATGTGGTTCAGTACCTTTTTCAGTGGGGCAGCTCACATCCTGCTGCTTCAGTGATCTGGGCAGGAGTGGGAGGAATCAACTTCCTCCTCCCCAGAATTCTCCTGCTCTCCTTGCATCATTTCCACTTCCTGTCTGGTTTTCCCGCCTACACCTCCTGCCTGGTCAATCAGTGTTTATTTAAAACGTGATTGACAGAATACAGACAATTCTCCCGTACCACTTACCAGCAAGGTTCTGGCACATCTGTCTCTGGCGGAAGCTATATGGCTTCTCACTGACTCCGCTTACTCTCTCTATATATCTCTTCCAGCCTGATTATATTTTTTTTTAAGGAAATGAACTTTTTATTGGAGAGAGTCTCTGAACCCGCAAGAGCAGGCTCTAGGAAATGGGTTAAGGCATGGAGTAGCCACCAATTGCCCTTCCCTGCCACAGAGCTTGAGGGAGGTGTGAGCACAGCCACACCCTTGTGAGCTCACAGAAGCATGAGCGCACACATGCACACACACACACCCACCCACACACAGCTGGTTTCACACATTCCCAAAAGGCCAGGCCTCACCCGCAGAGTGCTGGGTGAATTCAATTCCATCTCCTCACCCCAGTCAGACACAGGCTGGTGGTCCCCAGTGGGCGACAAGGGGCTGGGAGGTTCAACAGGGACTGGGGACAATGACTCCTGGGGCCTGGCAGGTGCAGGGTCCGCCTGCTCACAGGTGGGCTTCCCAGCTGGCTCAGCCTCTCCAGGATGGTGATCAGGAACAGCTGGGGGCTCCTGCTCCTTAGGACACTCTTCCTCCTCCTCAAACTCCTCTTCTTCCTCTTCCTCCTCCTCCTCAGTGATGTCTTCACACACATCCTCCCATTCTTCATCCTCATCATCTTCCCTCTCCTCTTCTCCCTCCTCTTCCCCCTCCTCTTCCTCACCATCCTCTTCAGGAGGCCGGTGGGCTGGGGCTGGGGCTGGGGTCTCTGGAGTCTGTGTGGGTGTCTCCTCCAGGGACAAGGATTGAGAGGACTCAGGGGCTGAGGACACAGCTTCCTCTTTTGTTTCCCAGCGATTATCATGGTCACTATAGGCATGAGGGGCCACCTTGTCCTGGGATCGGCTGTTCTTTCTCCTCCTGGGACTCTTGGCTTCTGCTTTGTGCTGAGAAAGGAACTCTCCAAAAGTGGGGGGCTTAGGGGACCTTGCCCAAGTTTGGTCATCATAGCGGTGGGACAGTTCGTGGGTAGGAGCTGGCTCATCCTTGAACATGCCATCGGTCTTCTCGGCATCCCATTCCCGCCGCCACTGCCCAGTCGGCTTACGGTGTCGCTGCAGGCGCTCTTGGTCGATCTTCTCCCTCTCCTGCTTCCAGCGCAGGTACTCTGACCGCTCTCGGCCGGTCATGGACATTGTCATGTCGCCCCCACAGCCCAGGCCAGCCCTGCGGCCCTGTCTCTCATGTTCCAAGCCAGAGCATACCCTGTCGAAGTCGGAACCTCCCCAGTTGCGGCCTTGCCAGCGGCTGCCCTCCCGGCGATCCCTCTCAGGCTCCTCCAGGGGTCCACCCCGACGCCAGGGATCATCCAGGAAGTTGCCTACTGGGTTGGGCTCCAGTACTCCTTCCCGCTGGTTGCGCTCGTACTCAGCGATCTTCTCCATCTCCTCATTCATCTTCTCAATGTTCTGCCGGCGTCGCTTCTCCCACTCCTTGGACTTGCGCTCAGAGGTTGAGTTGTCTCCTGCCACTAGGAGATGAGGGGATCCCCGGCCCCGGCCTCTCCGGCCCCGGCTTCCAGTTCCTCCTCGAAGTTGCTCCCCAGCACCATTCTCCCAGCCTCGGGATGCCCGGCTTACTCCTGCACGGCCTCCCTGCTGGGGGTGGGTCTGGCCCCCTCTGTTGGCTTCTGAGGGCCGGGGAGTCCCAGGAGTCCTCCGAGAGGGACCCAGGCTCTTCTCCACTGCCACATTCTCCTTCTCCATGGAACGGCTTTTCCGGGGAGCTGTCACTGCCACTCCCTCTAATTCAGCTTTTTTCCGGTCTTCCTCCATCTCCTGGTAGCGCTGGATGAGAGCCTCATTCTTCCTATGCAGAGCCTCGATCCTCTTGTCCAGCTCAGCGTCTTTCTCCTCCTTTGACTTCAAATCTAGTGTGGTAGCCATTCCATCAGCTGTGATCCCCTCACAGAAAAGGAATGGAGCACTGGGGGTTCCTGTCCCGGAGACCCCGAGGCATCTGCGACTCCGACTCCATCCGCCTCCTAGTCCACAGCTCCCGGGCCTCACCGCCTGATTATATTCTGTTAAGTCATTGGCCGAAAGCAGCTCCTTTATTAACCAATAAAAGCAACACATATACAGAAAGACTTCCCAGGTCATTTGCTTGCTATGAGGACTCTGTCTCTCTGAAACTACAAGACAATATAAATTATTTTTTCCTGTGAGGAATTTTGTTGTCTTTAAGAAAAAAAATTGAAACACAGCAATAAAAAATAAATTAATACATCCACCATGGGCTACTTAATCTACTTTGAATTCAGTGGAGGAGGGTCATTCGGCAAAGGGCTCAACATCCTAGCATTTTACAGATATGTAAAAAAGGAGCAAAGAGAGGTCAAAAGAGAACTCATGTTGGTGACAAAGGAAAAAATGGAATGCATGTCTACAGCAACTTCGGGGTCAGATTCCAGTAAAAACAGGTTAATCCCCACCGCCCGAACTGTACCACTTGATGGTCTCATCAAGGAGTCTGGATGGTGTCCCATGGGGTTCATACTCCAGAGAAAGAGGGCATCTTTTCCCCTGCTCTCAGTTTATACCTCAAAATGACTATTCTTTCCCAGAGATAGAGTGACATTAGGAAGAAACACCACAAAATCCCTTTGTAAGAAAGTAACATCAGACTTTAGAAGAAGTACTATTGAATAAGGTCAAATAATAAATGAACCCACAATGATTCATAAATAATAATATGAACCCCCAATGATTTTTTTCTTTACATATTCTAAAACATGAAAGATATGCAGGAATTATTTATTTTCCCATCTTCATTTTTTAAAGTGAGTATTAATGGTCAAAAGAAAAATGTGTATTATATATGTATATATATATATATGAGAGAGAAGAAAATTATATGCATATATAAACTGTGAGAAAAATGAAAAATTAAACTGTGAAACAAGTTAACTCTCAACACAGTGAAAGGATAGATGATAGAGGATCATGAGATACTTGCAAGATTTTGACTGGAATAGTGATTTATAACAATGAACGGGAGACAGCATGGCTCAAAAAATAATGCATCCTTAATTTCCAGTGATTTATCTAGATAGAAAAATTATAATACGATTTGAATTACAGAAGAGTTTTACACTATGTATTCATTTGCCAAATATAAATTCATTCATGAGTGTGCTATTGCTAGGTTCTGTAAACCCACTTGATTCCCAGCATAGAGCTGAGGAGATGAAGTGTATGTTTATTAGTTTGTGACATTCATGGATATGCCTTTCTCTGACTTCTATATTTTCCATAAATCATGTTAATGTTTCTGTATTCCTTATCATCTGTACTTTTGAATAAGGAATATATAAACAATAGAAATAATATTATCAACTGTTCTAGCATTTTGTTTCTATATAAGCAGTAATAGATTTTAAGAGCCAGAATGAACACAAAAAGGTTATTTACAAAATCTTTTGATGAACAATATAGCATCCCGAGAAAAACCTGAACGAAGAGTGTGCCAGGCAATGTGCCAAAATGAATGGAGGAAAACTCACAAGGCCATGCCCTAGCTGAAAAGCTATATTTAGTCAGTGGCTGTTGAGGGAGAGAGAATGGGTTTTCTCCAGTGACAGTTACAGGTTTTAAGGTTATATATATAACCCTCATAGGTTATTTATATATATATATATACACACACATATGTATAGATGTATATATATGTGTGTGTATCCACTCCCATTAGTTATCTAAACATATGCAAATGTGAATGTGAGCAACATTAAATGGATTTGGGTGGTGTGTGTGTGTATGTGTATGATAAATTTGAGAAGGAAGGGTAGAAATGTTGTAAATACAGTACCCACGTGTGAAATTCTCAAGGACTGCAGACCTCATGCCTGGGAGCAGTTCGTCAACACAAACTGGACTCAAAAGGAGAGGGAGAGAGGCGTGGAGTTGGGTGGAAGGAAGTGGGAGAAGAAGCTGACCAGAGTCAGAGAGAAGAATGAATGTGATCAAAATACATTGTACAAAGTTCTCAAAGAATTAACAAAAACATCACTGTTTTGCAAACTGTAAATATTTAATCATGAAATATTAGAATGAAAAACAAATGACAGTATCTAAAAAAGATTCACTAATGAAGAATTAATGATTTACTTAATCTAAATGTTATTAAACTTAATTTAGTAGAGGCCCAGAAGAAAAAAGAAGATCACATGAGAATAATTACCTAGGAATTATATGATAAGCAGTTATGACTTATTTTACTAATATTTCTAAAGTTTTATTGAACAATATCTATGACTCCAAATTATGCTTTTTTCAATTTAGATTCTTCTATATTAATTGTATACATTAATAGAATTCAGTGTTTTATTCTATACATACACATAGTATGTACAGATCAAATACAGTTTCTATTTATTGCCCCTGCTCACCTAAACCTTTCATAAAGACTGCTCTACGTTTTGATCAACTTCCTTTTGTCCTCTTTGAATGGAAGCAGAAATAGGGTTCCTAATTTCTGTGCTGATTTATCTCACTAAATGGGCCATTCTCTAGCTTCATCCCCATTGCTTCAAATGGCAGGAATTTATTTTATGGCTGAAACCTCTGTTCTGTGAATAGTTCATTCCCCTTAATTGTGTTTATTCATTCATATGTCGGTAAGTACCAAGATTGATTGTATACTGCAGCTATCACGAAAATGGCTGAAGAAGATGTGAACATTCAGACAGCTCATTAGTATCCTGATTTCCCAGAAACGGAATAGGTAAACTGGCACATCTCATTTATTTCTTGGTTTTGGAACATAGACTCAGTATGAACATGCCTTCTGCCAAGTGTGAGGACTATAGGTGTGTGTCACCATATCTGTCCTAATCTTGAATTTTGTAAGGAGCTGCTAGCAGTGCTTTCCACAATGATTGTATTAATCTAAATTCTCACCAACAATGCATTTTTTTCATATTCTTAATAACCTTTGCTATTCTTAGTTTAATTACAATTACTATAGCTGAAGTGAGATGATGTCAGCTTGCACTTCCGTGATGGTTAATGACGTGGAACCTATACCGCTGTATTTGTTGGTAATTCATATTTCCTCTTTGGAAAACATTCCTATTCAGATTTTGTGCCCATTTTTTGATTGGATTTCTTGTCTTTCGTTGCTAAGTTGTTTGAATTTGCTGTGTCATCTGCTTATTGGTTCTCTGTCAAATGAAGAGCTGGTCAATGTCTCCATTTTGAGATCTTATTCCGTTTATCATGCCGTTTGCTATAAAGAAGTGTTTGCATCAGTTCAGCTCTCTTTCTCTTTTGTTTGTTTCCTGTGCTTTGTGGTCATATGTCAGCTTTTTAAAAACCATATTGATACATTGAAGTGTTTCCCATGTGTTTTCTTCTTTTTGCTTCATACTTGCAGGTCTTTTAGTTTGACACCGTGTTCTGTTGTAGTCTTGTATGTCAGCCTCTCTAATAGGCAGAACTATCCTGAGGACAGAGATTCTGCTTTTTACTGTTTTCATTGTCTTGCTTGGTGCCTGCCACCCAACAATAGAATATTCCTCACAGGAAAAATTGAAGTCTCAATTCTGAACATCTATACCCCAAATTCAAGGGCACCCACATATGTAAAAGAAATGCTAATAAAGCTTAAAACACACATCAAACCCCACACACTAATAGTGGGAGACTTCAACATCCCACTCTCATCACTGTAAAGGACTGCCAGACAGAAACTTAACAGAGAAATAAAGGAACTAATAGAAGCTATGACTCAAATAGGTTAAGAAGACATCTATAGAACATTTCACTCAAACACAAAAGAATATACTTTCTTCTCAGAATCTCATGGAACCTTCTCTAAAATTGCCACATACTTGGTAACAAAGCAAACCACAACAGATACAAAATAAATTGGGAAACCCCCTTTGTCTTATGGGATCAACATGGCTTGCTTAAAGTTAGAATTCAACAACTACACTAATTGCAGAAAACCAACAAACTCATGGGAATTGAATAGTACTCAACTGAATCAAACCTAGGTCAAGGAAGAAATAAATAAAGAACTTAATGGTTTCCTAGAATTCAATGAAAATGAATGCACAACATACCCAAACTTATGGGACACTTTGAAAGCAGTTGTAAGAGGAAAGTTCATAGCACTCAGTGCCGAATAAAGAACCTGGCGAAATCTCACACTGGCAACTTAACAACACACCTGAAACCTCTAGAACAAAATGAAAAGGACTCACCCAGGAGGAGAGGATGCCAGGAAATAATTAAATTGAGGGCTAAAATCAACAACATAGAAACAAATCAATAACAGAAACAAAGGAAACAATATGAAGAGTCAATGAGACAAAGAGTTAGTTCTTCAAGAAAGTCAGTATGATAGACAAACCTTTATCCAAACTAAACAAAAGGCAGAGAGAGAACATCCAAATTAACAAAATCAAAAATGAAAAGGGAGACATAACAACAGATACTGAGGAAACCCAGAGAATCATAAGGTCATAGTTCAAAAACCTGTATTCCACAAAATTGGAAACTCTAAAGAAATGGACAATTATCTAGACAGATACCACATACCAAAATTAAATCAAGCCCAGATAAACAATTTAAACAGACCTATAACTCCTAAGGAAATAAAAGCAGTCATCAAAAGTCTCCCAACCAAAATTGCCCAGGGCCAGATATTTTCAGTGCAGGATTCTAACAGAATTTCAAAGAAGAGTTAATACCAATACTCCTCAAATTGTTCCATACAATAGACAGATAAGGGACATTGTCAAACTTGTTTTACAAGGTTACTGTTACCCTGACACCAAATCACACAAAGACACAACTAAGAAAGAGAATTACAGACCAATCTTCCTGATGAGCATTTATCCTAAAATACTGGCTCCAAGAACTGAATCCAAGAACACATCAGAAAAATCATCATGTAGGCTTTATCCTGGAGACGCAGGGATAGTTGAACATATGAAAATTTGTCAATGTAATGACCATATAAATAAACTGAAAGAGAAAAAAAACATGATCATCTA